AAACATACCAAATAATTGTTTTTAACAAAAGAATGCAGCATCATTATATTATGATAATTGGGTAATGGATCAATTCAACTTTCAACTTTAGAATTTAGGGAGGGGTATTCAAGAGGGCTTTAAATTTGAAGTCAGGTTTAATTGGTGAGAAAACAATTAAAATTTTCATTAAAAAAGATCAAAACACATCAAATATACAACATAATATATATTTAAAAAATAATTACAAAATTAAAAAAAAAAAAAACACCGAAGAAAAAGCAGTAAGCAAAAAGTCATAAATATCTCTACTGATAGAAGACATTTACAGCCTTTTGGTTGCTGTTTTTTCTTTGGTGTCTCCTAACACCCCGGTATGGATGAGTCCTCCATTTAAAGGAGGGCTCATCCATTCCGCCATTATCTTTTCATTTGTTGAAGGACCTCTCTGAGAGAGGTCCTAGGTGTTGGGAGCGGTAAGTTTTATAATCTTCGAATGATAAGGAATCTAGCAAACTTATAATTTAATTAACACAGCCCTACCAGCTATACTTTATTTATTAAACTAAACTAATCATAATTTATACTTAGTTTTTGTTCTAACTCCCCTAAAAGAAAGTATAAATCAAAGCTAAAGAACTTGATTTTTTTTAAATTCCAGTGGCAGTACAAATAAACAAATTCCTATTAACAAATATCCTAATAGCAAAAACACCGACTTATTTGTTTCTTCACTTCTGTATCTAAACAATAAAAGCACTTTAATGTTTAGACGTTAAAATATCGATAAAATACATATTAAATGCCACATTCAACTAACTAATGTAATTAATACCTTTATTAGATCTCTCTTGATTAACTAAAGAATTTAAATTTTAAATAAACTCTAACTAAATTTTAACAAACGAACAACTGAAATAAATCTTCACTTTAATAGTATGTTATTAAGTTGATTAAATAGATCAAACAATTTAATCTACTCTAATAATCTACTACCTTATTAATAAACTTTAATTATTTTTCTACGACTCAGTGTAACTATAATATAGATATTTTTAAAGTAAAAAAGAATTTAATATTATAATATATATGATTTTAAAAACCTGAAATTTTAAATTTACCTCGAAGAAAACAGATATATATTGAAAAGTATTTTTATTTCTTTTTAAAAATTTAAAAATGCTTTATAAATTACTTGTTTCAATATTATTACCAACGTCTAAATAGAAAGCTACCTTACCATTATGGCAATATAAAAAATGTGTTTCATCTGGAAATTTCTTAGCACCACAGTGCTGACAAATTTGATTCATTTCTACTAAATAATTATAATCTGGAATAGCATTACTTCTCGCTATAGAATACATTCGTCCTTGTCCAACAGCTCTTCTTTCATTTTGGCGACGATTAACATTATCTCGATCGAGCCTATTTCTTTCATTTTGGCACGATTAACATTATCTCGATCGAGCCTATTTCTTTCATTTTGGCGACGATTAATACTATCTCAATCGAGCCTATTTCTTTCGTTTTGGCGATGATTAACGTTTTCTCGATTAAGCCTATTTCTTTCATTTTGTAAATGATTAATTTCATCTCGCCTAAGTCTATTTCTTTCATTTCGTCTACAACTATTTTCAACACGCCTTATAGCACCTACATCATTTTGTAAATACATAACTTCATCTAGCCTATCATTCATTTCAATGTCATTATTTTGATTAAACATATTTATCAAAGCAACACTAATTATTTCTTTTTTTTACTACTTTAAAGTTAACAATAGAATAAAAAAACTAAATAAATAACTAAAAAAATCTTACTCAAAAAATTAAAAAAAATATTCTCAAAACAAATATATAAAGAATCCAAACTAATGCAAAATAAAATTAATTTGCCATCATCAAAAGTAATACAGGTTTCATAAGTTTATTTGATAGAAGTTAAGAAAAACCTGCAACCATATTAGCAAAAACTTAATACAAAAAGTTAAAATTTATTCTGTTTCTAATAAAGAAAGAAAAATTTAGAAACAAACAACATATCTTCGCAGACAGCGTCATAAGGCATGCATTGGGAGAAAACATTGAACAAAAAGGGTAATAAAACTTATTAACGCATTATGTACAATAGAAAACGGGTTATTAATGCAGGTTTATAAATTTTTTCCCCCCAACACACTATTACGCTGCGGCAACTCCAACTATTTATTAGCGAAAACATATGAAAACCAAAATTTTTTATATAATATATATAGTATATTTGATAAATAAACCTCTACAATTTTTTTAGTTCAACAACTTGATTATGATTAATAACAACTCTGTAAATATAAATTTTCTAATGATCTAAATTTTTATAAATTAGATATTTTATTTTATATCTTAATTTTAAATTAAATAAATTATATTTATCTTAACTATAAATTAAATCTTTATAAATTAGATATAAATAGAAAAACAAACATATAATAACACAACTATATCCTAAACCAAAATTCAATCATGCAAGGCA